AAGAGGCTTTTGAAGGAGAGTTTTGCTAGTTAGCCTCCATTCCTTCTGCAAGAACCAAACAGAGCTGTTTCTGTACCTTTGTATTCCACTCCTCTTCCTCTTCATCACAGTCTAACCCTTGATGGGAGATCTCAGTAGGTCCATTCTCCTGGATCAGGTTGCTTGCAATTGTCCCCATTCTTTTCTTTTCAGCTGTCACTCTCACTTTCATGAGGTGAAACCCAGTGGAGACTGACCCGACTCTCAGGTTGACAGGTTCGCCATCAAAAAACAGGTCACCAGGGCTGCCATCATCCTTAAAGCCTGGAGGCTGATAATCTTTGGGAGTTACTACACAGAGAGAAAGAACCCACTGATGTCAGAGAAGTAAAGTTCTATCTCTCCTTAATCTGATTTGTAAAGAACAAGTGTACACCAGCCTCAAGTAACAACATCAACTACTAAAAATATTCGTTTGGGTTTTTTTTTTTTTCAGGAAGAAGGGAGAAGAATGCAAAGGAAAAATGAGCAGAGCAAATGTTATCAGGGAGCTCAAAGAAATAATGACTTTAGGATGCTGAGATACCATTAATGAGCTCAACTTTCTGAAGCCGAACCTGACAAACGCAGGATGCCTGTTCATTAAAAAAACAAACACAAAAAGCATGAAGGAGAAGGATGTCTCCTTTCACACTGCATGGCTGTACTTCTTACATGGATGTTCCACCTTTTCTTTAAAAGCATCTGCCATCCCTAAGTGTCAGAAGGCTTTCACTACATTTTACACCATTTCTCACTGTTATCAGTTAACAGCTTTCAGCTTTCTTTTACTTTCCAGGGGCTCACGATTAGCGTAGGAACTGATGGAAAGGGAACTTTCCCCGACAGCACACACTGTTCTCCACCTACCATCATTGTAGTAGAGGAGTTTCATGGTCAGGGTAATGTCATTGGGAAGAGGCCCGAGGTTTTGCATTAACAGGTACAGTTTACGGATCAGGAGCCTGCTGGCCTGTTTAATGTCCTCCTCGCTGCACAGCCCATTCACAAAGTTCATTTGGTTGCTACAATCGGAAGAAGAATAACAGATTTGTTTTCCTCAGTCATGAATATTCACGATCTAATTACAAATACAGCGCACCCAGTGACTTGTCTGAAACCAGCAGCAACAAAGCTACAATGGCTTTATGTAATTTCCAGATAAACAGGGAAGTGAAACAGACTCCAGGGATGGGGTGGCATCAGCAAAACAACAGCTCTAAACTAAGAGGCACGGCATTTACATTTGAACAGACCTTGTAGCCAGGGCAATGGACCCCATTATACAAATGTCATGACTCACTTGTTTGAACATGATTAAATCGGATCAAAGGAGCATAAAGCAAGTGCCTTTCACCTAAGCAATTTCAGGAATGAGAGGAATGAGGTGAGAATCCCATATAAAGTCGATTCATCGCAGGGGCTATTTTCAAGTCTATTTTGCAGTTTGAAGAGAAGTGAATTGCATGTTCTCATTTCAATTCCATGTAAGAAAAACTAGCTCAGAAGCACATTTTTCAAAAGTGACTAAGGGGCATTCCTCTCACCTCCTTCACCCATCCAAATGTCAGCTGGCTAGCTAAGCAAGCAGTCTAGACTGAGATAAACGTCTAACAGAAGTGGGATGAATCGCCCTCTGGAGGAGTTTGTTTCTCTTGACTACAGAGGTAGATGAGATGAGCAGCTTAGATCAGCCAGCTAACTTTAGACGGTTGAAGATGGACTAGATGAATCACTATGTGACTAAGGAACCCAAACTTCCCCAGCTTTCAATGAGAAGGGGCCTTAAAAAAATGTAGCTCCTCCATTCCAGAATCATGTCTTTGGAAGCCCACCGGCAGGTGGATGACACCGTATACGGGCTGGATCATCTCTAACACAATCATCCCAAATTATTGCAAAAAGCAGTAAGTAACCGAAGAGAGCAGAGAGAAGCCCAGGACTGAATTTGACTGACAAAACCACTGGGAGGAACAGCTTCATTAAGACTCATTTCCCCTTCCAGTTGAAGCTTCTTGGCTCCTCGTGAAAACCCAGTGGCTGTCGAACAGCTGGAATTCCCAGGGTACGCAGGGCATGGTTTGCTAGGCTCCAAACTGTCAACAGTGCTATTAGATTACATCCTGTATGTTTAGAAACGTACATCAAGTGAGAGGACAAATGCCGGCAATGCCTAAGGTGGAGCGAAGAGAAGGGAGGCCTTCTCTTACACATCACCTTTACAGGTCTTGGGATTAGCAGAACAGAAACGGTAAGGGGAAGAGTACAAGCCAAAAACTCAAAGAGATGAGACTTCCATAGGAATTAACAAGTCAAATATTGGTTCAATATGGGAATAACATTGTGAATTTGATGCAGGAATGTCTCAAAAGGTAGAAGCTGAGGAACTGAGCCTCTGTGAAGAACGGGAGTCTACAGCAAGGAATTCCTCCAAAATTCATCTAAAATAAGGCGGACACCATTTAGGAGAAAGTTTCCCTATATCACTCAGATACGATGATGCAGACCCACAAAACATCTCCCACGGAATGATTAACTCAGAGTTTGCACATGCCAATAAACCTCGCAGGTGTATAAAAGCAGTTTTATCAGCTGAAGGAGCTGACAGCAAATATGACACAATACTCTGATCAATGCCAGAACGTCAGTTTACTAACGACTGCAGGTACAAACCTGATCCTGCGATAGCAGTGTCAGTCACTGAGGAAAGAGAACAGAGCCCAGGAATCCGACACCACGGGCTTTGAAGCCTCAGAGCAGTAATGATCAGAGCAGTAATGAAATTTCGACGGAGCAGATATAAACACAACAGCAAGATCACTTAGCCTCTTTCAGCCAGTATGATGGACAGCAGGGGATGTTGAGTTCCTTTTGGGGACTGCTGTTATTTCTAGGAACTAATGACTGATCTGAGTAAGACTGATTAAAAAATCAAAGTACTCAAGAGCTATCTATTATCATTCAGATCCCAAAGGTCTCCACTTACCCTCGGTGTAGTGAAGACAATTGACATCAGCTTCAAAGCAGAAACAGAGGGTACAGTCAACAGGAGGCTCTAGACTCAGACATAGTTCAGCTTTTCCTAATAGAAAATCATTTTGCCACGTACTACAAATTATTTGGATGTGTTTAGAGAAAGAGCAGCAAATGGAACACTAGAGGAGTGATGCGGAGGGGTTTCCTGAGGACCATATGAGACAGCAGAGCTCTCTTGCTGCACATGCAGGTTCCGAGGCCCAAAGACCCATCTTTCATCAATGGCAACTGCAGAAGCAAACTAAAACCAGGTTAATGATTTTTGGTTTTGCTTTGGTTATCGCTAACAGCCTGTGATAGTATTTATTTTAAATTACACAGGATTACGGCCTACTAACCACAGCTTTAAAATATCTAACAGACAGAGCCAAAAAGATGCAAAAAGCTGCTGCTTCCTGCCACACATTTTGCAGCATCAACTCAGGCGTCATGAGCGAAAGTTCTCTCAGGTCACCCACGCAAGAGTGCTCAAGCAGAATACACGTATGCAAATGCCCAAGGAAAAAATATTCTGGGTGCAGGATCATGGTGAAAGGGATCAGACCTGAAAAAGCTTCATTTGAAAGCACAAGTGGAAGAACACTAGTTATTAGTTGAGACGGCGGCAAGCTCAACAACAGTGCCGTTTTCTGCATCGCTGCCCTGATTAGGCACCATTTCTATAAATCGTCCTTAATTCAGTTCTGGTGCCCTTTAAGCGCCTCACTGTGCTACGTAACAACATTTCTACTCATCAGCTCGGCAGTTCATATCCTGTAGGGTGAATATCCTCATCCCTGATGATATTTACAGCTGCTTGGCGACCCAGACATGCTCTAATCATAAAGTGCAGTTTCTGCTTAATGCTTCAAGAACACAGTTTTCACAGCATAATTCTGAGAAATAAAACCAAACCATTACCTGATGATGTCCATCTGGGGCACCTCCTTTTTGTACTTGAATTTGAATTGATACAGTTCAGTCACTGTCTAGAGATTTAACAAGAGATGGGAAAAGAAGAAATGGGTCTCTTTCAATAACAAGGGTAAAGATGTGTACTGAAGTCAGCAGCGTGCTTTCACAACTTTATGCCAGAGCACAGAGTTAATTTAATGACACAATGACAGCTTTGACTCTGTTATTGCTTGCACCGGCTTTGGCAAATTTTATTGACGACCACAGCTTACCTAGCACTGAAAGAATCACAAAAAAATGACAAACTTCCTGCTTCCTCCTTCCACTTCCTCTGTGGGCCTGACTCCCCAGCCTAAATCTCTAATGAGACACAGGGGCCAGCCTGCACCACAACGTACGTACATACGTCCTCCCGTACTAAAAGGAAAAACGTGAGCCTTCACAGGTGTTGCAGTGTCACGAGGAAGCCTGGCCCAGAGTTCCGTCCGTATGGAGACAAGGGCCTGAGGGATGCTTCCTACTGGGAAATACAAACAATACTGCATGGACAAAAGTTTCTGAATTTCAGCACTCTCAGAGTTTTCTGAGGGACATAAAAAAACTAGATTATTTTCCATTTTAAAAGAACGGATTTGCCGTGATTTTCGAGAATAAAATAATTAGGAAGAACAGACTACTTCACCACAAAAGAAAGGATCTATTGTAGTCCAATTCCATGCCTATAATTCACTATTTCCAGAGGCAATGAGGTTGTTTAGTAGGAGCTGAGCTGAGCCCGTAACTCTGAGCCTTCCTTACAAATCCCAGCCTTGGTACGGATGCAACTCTTGCTCTCTCCCCAGATGCTGAGGTGTGACGCAGCAGAACTGTAATCGGGTGAGCAAAGGTTCTGCAGCCGCTCGCTGCATCTACTCTGCAGAGACGGCAGCACCTCACTTATTTATCACACTACCCAGTCTGTCTCCACCAGCTAAATGTAGACAACATAGAAACGAAACAGAGAACGCTGAAAGGATAAGTACAGGCACTATGCGACACACAGATCCCAGGTCTGAAGGGATTCACAACCTCTCTGCATGAAAAAACAGCTCTCTTTTCAACATCGCTGTTAAAAAGATGGTTCGTAAAAGAATTATTTTGAATTTCCCATTTCTTCTCTTCAGGAAAGAAAAACGAAATTGCCAACGTGCCCATTAGTCGCCTGTTAACACCCCTGCCTGAGGCCCTAGATGGGCCCACAGCCTAGCGCCTGGTAGGAGCGTTTGATCACAATCCAGCTCACTGAGCTGTCATTCTTGAGTGAAGGCAGAAGAAGAGAAACAGGGTCACCAAGCAGCTATGTCAGGGTAGAACTGAAGCCTACAAGTCCACTCTGAATACAAATCTACTCACCCATGCCTTCAGTTGCCTCAAAGATTAATTAAGACTCTTTCTTACCTCCGGTTCCTTGGGATTGGTGTAAATCTGTTACAAGAAAACACAGTGAGGGCATTCTCCTCTTGGATAACTTGAAACAGTGAAAAGTGACTAAACAACGATATTTTCATTTTACAGCAGAGATTGTACTATCTTTAGCGTGGGATCAGAGAAGGGAATGGCTGAGAAATAGCCTTCCTCTATCAGCAGTCAATACTTACCACTTCAAAGACAGGTAGAAGACACTCATCTGTGTAATTGTGGAGGAATGAGGTTAATTCCCATTCCAACCCTCACAGGCAACTATTGATGCCTGAGATTTAACTACTCAGATGATGCACAGAATAGATGCATAGCATAGCTCTTGGTGCTTTAAAAAGGACCAGGGCAAAAGAACTTGCTATGTAACCGCTAGTGTGTGGTTTCTTCAGTATCAGATTAATAAGGAGGAGTCTTCCACAGGGGGAAATGGAGAAGACACAGCAGCTTCCAAGGGTGGAGGCAAGAGTTTAAAGGAAGCAACTATATGAAGCACATGAAAGCGCTTCTAGGAGTTTAAGGATCCACGTAAGGCCTCAGAGTCAGAAGTCTGACATATGAGCAAAATATTCCCACGAAGCCTAGGAAGTTCATATTTACCATATTTCAGAAAGGTCACTGCTCTATTAAAAACCACATACATTTTGACTTCCCCTTAAAAAAGGCATAAATGGGTTGACACAGAGAGACTCCATCTCTCTTTCAAGCAGGGTGAGGGAAGAAAAACGCTTATATTCATTTACTTATATTCATTTACTTACTGCGAGGACAGCAATGTGTAACTAAGGAGGGAAAAACAAAACAAAACACAAAATCAAAATCTAACCTTAGTGGGCAAGGAAAAGAAAGACCTATCAAAATCTAACTGCCTACATGCAGTGAAGGAATATAGATACATTCAACAAACGACGAGTTAAAAACCTCTATGCACTCTTCACAGCACAGCATCAGCAACACCTAGTGGCCAGTTTGCTCGGCTTTACTTGCAGTTCCCCAAGAAAACAACTGCGTGCTCAGACTTCTCTCTCGAGACTCTCCTTGAACAAACCTCCAAAGGCTATGCCGACTTAAAACTCTTTTACAAGAGCACCCATAGCTTCTGAACACTAATATTTGCTCTCTGCTACAAAACTCCCCAAAGGTATTTAATTTATACTATAGCAGGAAAACATACATGGGACTACTCTTGAAAACAACCCTAGAAGATGCATTAAATGTCTCTGGTTTTTTCTTAATCCTTGTCAAACAACAATTAATTTATATGTCGCATAAACAGCAGAGGACTAGATACCTCCTAGAACAGTCAGCAAGCACTAAACTGAGTTCACAACATTTTGAATTATCTTATGCGCACTGACAGTTGTACTGATGTATAAGAGCCCATCTGATCATCAGTGCTGAAACTAACACCACTTCATCTGATCTAGATGAGAGGTGGTTTGATGAACAGTGCTGACAGAGATGACAACAGTCGGTGCTTTTTCCGTGCAGAGCAGTTTTTGTGTGAGAATCGGCAAGGAATATGATTACTTACTAGCTGATTTTGTCCTGGAACCAGTTATATACCTTACTTGATGAATTAATTTCCAAACAAACAAGAAGTAATAAATTCTGAAGCCAAGAGAAAAGCTAGGAGGCTTAGAGAAGATGAGGAGAAGGGAAAAGACTAGGGGAAAGGCGATGAAGGAAAGCAGCAGCACGAACTAACCTGTGTCCAGAAAACAGGCATGGAGGTCAAGATCTGAGTTCTGACTGAAAGTGTGTCTCTCCAGACATTACAGAACACAAATGCAGAACACAGAACTAAGGGAAATCCCTTTCAGGCTGCAAATTAGTTCACAAACCGTGTACAGGCAAGTTTAGGAGCAACAGTGGTCAATAGTTGGGCTCAAGGAATAAAATCCCATGTTTCCCATGAATATACTCAGGGCAGGGCGTTCCCCCTATCCCACAGCTGTGAATGTGTGTTGTACGCATGCAAGATCACTACAAAACTATAAAGCAGAAATAGAAAGATAGTTTTGTCCATAGTTTATGAAGAAATAGGAAACTCCATTAAAAAAGGTGAAAAAAACTTACATACTGCCTCTCCAAAGCATCAAAACAACCTTGAATCCTGCCAGGGAAAAACACGTTAATACTAACCAGCAGTACTTATCTCCTGATCTGTAAACACATACTCATTAGATACAGTTTAAAGTGCATTTTTTTTCTGGTATTAAGACAACACAGCTAGCAACATTTTGAGCTTGTCCTTTTTTTGAGTCCTTTTCAGGTCAACCATCATAAAGGCGCTGTCCTCCCTTCTGCATTTGCGCGTTGTTTATAATTCTAGGGCCGTATCCCGTCAGCCTAGAGCCCACTTAAATCCTGGCAAAGATTCGAGGCCCAAGGCTGGCTCTGCGTGGTTCTCTGCTCAGTGCTCTATTTTGGCTCCCCAGCTTGCTCTCCAGTGGCTCTTTTCCCACTGGCAGTGTACAGAGCTTGGCTGAAACTGCAATCTGAAACGCAGCCTGACATGTCTAGTCTTGTAAATTTTTTGTTATCTGATGCATAGTTTACAGCTATGGACTTTCTCAAAGTAGTAAATATTATTTGAGGCAGCAGTGGTCAGATATTTACTCTTTGAGTCAAAGGATGTGCAGCCAGGTATCTCCTTAGCACATCAAAGTCAAACTCGCTGCTTGTTGGGAACATGCCAGCTCTGAAATACATCTTAAAGTTGCAGGGTACTTAGACACACAATATCCAGGGAGATAAAATAATGTACATACTAAAAAACAAGCTACAAGAATCCCTATAAAAGTGAAACTAGAAATGACGAAACAACAACAGAAACAATCCCATGATTTTCTTTACCCTCTCTCCGTCCCTATGCTGCCCGTGTGTGCTCTGGGGCCTGACCATGACCTCACCACAGTCAACCCTTCGACAGACCTTGAACTCACATGATTCTGGTCAGCTAATTCTGTCTCGCTTACACACAGGGCCAAGCACACCCGCTGCGGCAGTGGGAGTTGCACTGGCACAGTCGATAGCGCTACTGGGCACGATATTTTCAAATGCAGGAAGAAGAAGAATGTGAGGGGTAGATGTCTTGCTATTCAGCACAATCTTGTCTTAGTTTCGCTGTTACTCACTTACCACTTGACTATCTGCAATGATCCCAGACAGCTTTTATCTTCTCGGAGAATTTTTAGACAGAGGTCTGCAAAACCAGATTTAGCACATAGTTACAACCCTTATCACAGCTGTTGGGCAAACACTGAAACTAAGCCAGCCACCCTCCCTTTTTTTGGATAAAATGCGTTATCTGGAGGTCCTTCCTGAGCGGAAATGTTGGTTTTCCACTGAGTCCCAGGTGGGCTGACACAAGCTTATTGCTGCATTTTCAAATGTCAAGACTTTCCTCAGATGCTCTGGGCTCCCCCAGACAAAGTACTAGAGTTGTAGCTTAATTTTGAAACACCAGCAGCTTCCGTCCTCTCCTCCCTCCTCTTCTCCGCTCCCATCTAGTCCACCATTCCTTAACAACACCTTCACTTCTGCATTCAGACTTCAGCAACATCCACATGAGGTAAACAACTGTGCTCAGAATAAACTATTTCTGTTAAGCTTTTCTGCATGGTTCCTTCTCCCTCTGTTTTCAGGCATTCAGAATGGCAGGAGGAAACCATCCTGCAAATGAAGAGGTGAATTAATAACACCTTCGGATTCAACCAAGGAGGCATCAAAGGCATGAGCAGGCCAACATTAACATTCTTAATCAAAAAGCCACTTAAAAGACCTGACGTTTGATTAGAAAGACTCGTGGCTTTTCAGGGTTAGGTGATCAAGACCCAATTTGGGATTTCCTGTGCCCTCAACCAAGTCCACAAGGTGCATGTGAGCCTGTTTCAGGACAACTAACTGCCCAAGTGAAACCACAGAAACAGACCGGAATGCATGGAGACATTTCACACCCTACTAACACATCTCGAATGAACACGAAGACGTTGCTGAATCAAAGCATCACTAATTCTTGTGATCCTATGGCAAGACTTTGGTTCTTAACGTTCTTCTTTTTCTTAAAGTTCTGATTCCCAAGCGCATGCAGTTATGGGAGATAGTTTTCACTGAAAAAAAACCCCAATCAATAAAACAAACTAACAAATCTAGTTTCAGTCTCGCAAGGAAAGCTGCAGTTGTGAACCTCAAGGCCTCAAAAATCCAAAGGAAAATAAAACACACCAGGCAGAGTTAAGTTTTTAAAACGTACTGATTTTTAAGTCAATCTCCTGACTGTGAGACCTGATTCATGGGGCTGGCAATGCCAAGGAATGTTTATAAACCAAAAGAAACACTTAGAGAAAAGCCATGAGTTGCCAACAGCACTAGGTTGTCTTCTACGCTCGCTCTCTATCTGACACAGAAGCACTGTCTGCACCCAGACGTGAGAAGGCCTCTTAGCTAACTTCCTAATAAACTGAACTCATACATATAGGAGCAGCTGGAAGCTACCACGTGAAGTAGACTGTAGCTAAAACATAGCAAGCAGAAATAAGAATTCAGCACAATTCGAATGTGTTACCATCTAAATAGCGAGTTCCATACGAGCTCTCTGGGAACAGCCCTCTCATGTATGTTATACAGGATACAGAGATGGCCAGAAGTCTTTTCACCAGCACCACAGACTGCTGCTCTGTAGCAATTTGGTTGGGGAACAACACCGATTCCTGAAAAAGAAGGGCAGAGCCCAAAATAGCACAGTTTTAGGGTAACAGAGGGATTATATTTAGAAACAACTCTCAGCAGGTGGAAAAAGAAGGTAACTTAGAAATGTAATTTTAACATTTCTCTGGTCTTTATGCTACACAGAGAAGGCTAATCACTAACATGGGTGGGATTAAATGTTTTAAGGATAATTGTTAGATCTGGCATGATTTACTCAAAAGCGGACTGCATTCGTCATTGCCTTCCCTTTTATCACAGCTGAAAGTTCCCACCCCCTCCACTGCACCAATGCTGGCACTTAACAGAGAACCACCCCTGGAAAAAAAAAAAAAAAAAGCGTATAGTTTTCTGCCAGCTTAGCTCTACAGAGTTAATTGTGGAGTCAAACAAGTGCCAGTGCTGGTGTGGCATTCACTGGCGTACCAAAGTTCACTGCCTGTCACAGCTTTTGACTGAACCTGTCAACACTGTACGCAGACCTAGTTTTCAGAGTGATTTAACCGCGGAGCTGTAAACAGCACATATCTACCATTGGAGCTAATGTAAATACCGAACACAGTGTGATTTTAACATGAACAATCTCAGCGGAAAGTATACTAAATTTAGTTCCTCTATCAGTTTGTTGCTTTTCTTCCTGCTTGTAAAGTTCTGTGCACACCTAATGCGCCTACATTTATTTAGTCACATGTCAAAGCCCCATGCCGTATCTTCCTGGACTCACTAAATTGAAAATGATCCAACTGATGCAGGCAACAGAAAGCGCTCCCACCTCAGCAGGCACAGACGTGCCAGGTCCAAAACTGAGAGCTAAGACTGCCAGTGCCATCACATTTCAACGTTTTTACCTTGGAGGACTTTTTCTTTTGCCTCATCTGTAAAAGCTGATGAGTAGTAGCCATCGTATTTCAAAGACCTGCTTTCCACTTGCAATTAAAACCTGGAAAAAAAAAAATACATGAGACACCTGGAAAATACACAGTCATTGCTATTTCTTATCTTCCTGAAGCTGAGAATGAGATTCTTCAGCCTTTTTCAGGTCTAAAAGATAATTGCCAGTCAGGACAGCTAAAGCAAAGCAAACCAAGGATACTCCACGGCACTATCTGGGAGTTTGCAGAGCGAGAAAACTCCTTATTCACTGGTAAACGATCAATAGTATTTGAAATTCAGGGCCACAACCGTACCTGGTGTCAGCTGGTCACTTCAAAGTGCATTTCTCATATTCCAAACCCCAAACGTTAATTCCTACAACCATTTAAAAGTGTGAAGGGGCAATGTGAAAGAACTGGAAGTCTGCCAACAGCAGCCAATATTTTAGCAAGGGTAAGCAGGAAGCACACCAACATCAATCTTGGCCGGAATAAAGGAATGATTCTTCTGGGATACCTTGAAATTAAAAAAAAAAGGGGGAGGGTGTGGAGAGAAATCCACATTGCTTCAGTGAAAGCAGGCCTTGTTAGACAAACCTGGATTAAAGAGGAAAATCTTTTTACAGGAATGGAAAGCCGAGTGATGAAGGCAATAATGGGGACATTACATGTATCACACTTTGGTGAGGTGCTTGATTTAGTGCCGTTTGACACCTTGATTAAAAACTTCCATTAGGCAGAATTAACAGGGAACGCGTTAACCGGTTTGAAGAACAGCTCGCCTGGGAGATCCCAACGCATAGTCGCTAATGGAGAGACGTTAATGAAAGGAAACCCCACAAAGAGGTCCCCAGAACAGCGGTGCCTGGTCCGCAGCGAGGCAATATTTCTATTAACAATTAAAATAATAGCACAAACACAGTGGGTTGATTTAAAATCGTGACCTAACGCAGCCAGCCGGGGACTTTTATCAAAACAGTTGATCTAATCTTGTTCTGCATTTGTACCTTTTCAGCTTTTTTCCATGAAAGCCTCATTTCCATTTGTTGGCAGTCATTAAGACATGTTGATTGGAACATGTTGACAGCTTTTATGCTAAATTTAGCACTTCATTTAGTAATGAGGACAGATTACAGCTATAAAAGCGTATTTAAACAAATATACACCTGCAAAATTTTTAAGTGTTAAATATTTTAGGAAAGTATTATTTTTTTTTTCACTCACGATTGGTGAAGCGCTGTGAACAGGACCGGAATGCAATTAAAGCAGACAAAGGCATTATTCCAACGTGAGGTTATTAGCTAAATAAAGCTGCTTTAAGTGCACCAGAGAGATAATACGACATGTTTTCTGTAACACACTACATCTATAATTGATTTATTGTGCAAAGGAAGCACCAGTTACACCTCCTGGGCCGTGGGTGGTGGGTAGGGGGGGTCCTCCAGAGCTCCACCATCACCTGAGCCAAACCCACACCCCTGAGGGAGAAGGAGGGTGCCCCGGCTCCCCCCGGCTCCGAGACCACCCACCCTCAAGCCAATTAATTAATCACCCACTATCGGCAAATTAGGACGACCCAGCAGAAACCAAACCTCTTGCAGGCCCAGCGACCTCCATCCCCCCCC